AAAATGTTTTTATCATGACGTTAAAATTTTTATAAGATGATTTTAGAATAATTGATTGTTCGGGAATCAATTATTCATTTCACTTTTTTTAGAAAACTTTTTGGTCCACTCTTTCTTTTAAGTTTTGTTCTTTAAATTTATTTCTTGATTTCAAAATTTATTCTATCTAAAAATTTATCCAAATTATTTCTAACATTTTTTCTTGAAAAGATCTCCTCTTTTTATAACATAAACCATTCAAACTATCTCATTTATGAATAAATGTCTTCATCTCAAAATGTTCTTTCCAATTCTTTTTTTTACCATAGTATTTTAATTTGTAATTACTTTGTAAATTTTTGGTTTTTTAAAAATTACTTTGTCAACAAAAAAAAATTATTTTCTAAAGTTTATATTCTTTCAAAAATATCTTTATTTTTTTTCTCTAAAATTTTTGTTCAACTTTTGTTAACCCTTTTTATGAAAAGGTCTTTTATTTATTTTTTCAAAATTTTCCACTCTTTGTAGAACTTTTCAAAAAAAATTTCAAAAATTTCTCTTTTTATAAGGTATAAAAACTTTTCATCTCTTTCCTCTTTAAAATTTTTATTCTTATATTTAATTTAAAATTTTTTTTTCTTCTTTGGAATTTGTGGCTCTTTAAAAGTTTTGTCAATCACTTTATAATTTGATTTTCATTTTTAAACATTTTTTTCCTTGACTTTTTTAATATTTAGTTATTTAACTTTTTTAACTTCAAAATTTTAATCTTTCTTCACTTTTCAAGTTTTCTTTACAAATCACTTTTCCATTTCTCTTTTACATTTTCCAATGTTCTTAATTTTTGTAAAATGTTTCTTATGTCATTTTTTAATTAATTTCTAAAAAATTACTTACTCAAATCTATATATATATATATATATATATATATATATTTTTTTTTTTCATTTTTAAAGTTTTTCCTCTTAAAAAATTTCTATCTTCTTTTTTTTGCCAAAATTTTTAATTTTCACAACTATGTTTTCTCATTTAGAAAATTAAAATATGTCATTAACTTTCATTCTCAATTTTTGTTTTTTTGGATCTACTAATGATTTAAAAAACATTGTTCGAAATGTTAAAGTGGTGTATGAAAAATGTTTTTATCATGACGTTAAATTTTTTATGGGGTGATTTTATAATAATTCACTGTTCGGGGATCAATTATTCATTTCAGTATCTTTTAGAAAAAGTTTTGGTCCGCTCTTCATTTAAGTTTTGTTGTTAAAATTTATTTATTGATTTTAAGTTTTGTTCAGTACTCTGCTTAACAAAACATTTCATAAATTTCTTACCTTTTATAACATATTAAAAGTTTTCATCATTTTTGGGTCCTTCAAATTTTTATTCTTATATTTAACATTTTTTACATTTTAATTTTTTTCCCATCTCCAAAGTTTTTCTTATTCTAATTCCAATTTGGGGATTTTTTTTAATTTAGTTATGATTGTGAAAAAATAACATATTAAAAATTTTCTCGTTTTTTCTTCTTCTCTTAAAAACTCTCTTATTTTTCTTTTTTACTTCTCCCTCTCGCAACTATTTTTTTTTCTCATTCAATAAATTAAAATTTCTCATTGACTTTCATTCTCAATTTTTGTTTTCCTGAATCTACCAATGATTTTAATTTTTTTTAGAAAATTTAAAGTTATTTTCGAAAAATATTTTTATCATGACGTTAAAAATTTTATGAGGTTATTTTTTCCTGAATCTACCGATAAGTTTATCTATCTCAAAAAAAAATTTCAATTTTTTTTTCTCTTGAATATTTTAATTTGTAACCCTCTTTCTAAATTTTTGGTTTTTAAAAAAATCACTTTATCAAAAAATATATATTTTCTAAAGTCTATATTCCCTTTTTTTAAATCTTTATTTTTCACTTTCCATGTATTTTATAACTTTTTTTTTTCACTTTTCTCACTTTATTCTTTTTCTCTAAAATTGTTGTTTTTTTTTTACATTTTTTAAAGGTTTTTATTTATTTATTTAAATTTTTTTACTGTTTTAAAGATTTTTTTTTTGTGCATAAAGTACTTTGATTAACAAAACATTTCATAAATTTCTTACCTTTTTATAACATTTTAAAATTTTTCGTCTCGTTTGTCCTTAAATTTTTTTTCTTATATTTAACTTTTTTGAAATGTTAGTTTTTTTCTCGTCTCCAAAGCTTTTCTAATTCTAATTCCAATTTGAGGATTTTTTTAAATTTAATTATGATTATGAAAAAATTTCTCTACAAAACTTTTTCCATCTTTTTCTCCTCCAAATTTTCTATCTTCTCTAATTTTTTTGCCAAAAGTCTTACCTTTGGCAGCTATTTTTTTTTTCTCATTCAATAAATTTTCATTGACTTTCATTCTCAGTTTTTTTTTTCCTTCTAAAAATTTAAAGTGATTTTTAGAAAATGTTTTTATCACAACGTTAAAATTTTTATGAGGTGATTTAAGAATAATTGATTGTTCGGGAATCAATTATTCATTTCACTTTTTTAGTAAACTAATTTTTTTTCTTTTACATAAAAGTTTTGATCCGCCATTTTTTTAACTTTCTTTTTAAAAGTTATTTCTTGATTACAAAATTTATTCTATCTACAAATTTATCCAAATTATTTCTAACATTTTTTCTTGAAAAAATATCTTTCTCTTCGAAACATAAACCGTTAAAATTTTGTCTCTTTCTTTTCTTTTTTTTTTTTTCTTTCTAATTTTCCTTTTTGTCTTCTTAATTTTTTCATGCCCTGATAAGTTTCTGTATCTCAAAAACCTTTTTCCTTTTCTCGTTCTAAGGTCTATATTATTATTATTTTTTTAATTATTTTTCACTTTGTAAGTATTTTTATTACGTTTTCTTGCTTTGCTCACTTTTTTTTTATTAAAATATTTAAAATTTTCATATTCTTTCGTCTTTAAAATTTTTATTCTTAACTTTAACTTTTTTTAACATTTTTTTTTCTCTTACTTTTGTTTACTTTTCTATTTTGTTTCTTTTAAAAATTTATCCCAAACTCTTCAGAAATTTTTTAAATTTTATTTAAATTTAAGAAAACTTTTTAAAGAATCTATATTCATTTTCTCTAAACTTTTTGGTTTTTAATTTTTTTTATAACGTATTTAAATATTAATTTCACTATTTTTTTCTCTTCAAACTTTCTTTTTCTCCATCAAAAACCTTTTCCACCCAAATAAAAAAAAATTTCAACAACTCTTTCCTTATTTTCTCTTGAAATGTTTTTTCTCTCTAACTTTTAAAAATATACTTTTTTTTCCCTCTAAAATTTGTCTTTAAATATATATTTTTCTAATTTATTTTTCAATTGAAAACTTTTTTCTTTCCAAAAATTTTTCAAACTTCTTCTTGCATTTCTTTTTATGAAAATTTTTATTTTTTGAACCTAAGGCTCTTTAAAATTTTTCCTATGTCTCTTTTTAAAAATTACTTATATTCAAACAAATATGTATATACATTTTTTTTTTCATTTTTAATGTTTTTCCTCCTCAAATTTTTTCTATCTTTTTTATATTTTTTTCCAACAAAATTTAATAAATTAAAATTTGTCATTGACTTTCATTCTCAATTTTTGTTTTTTTTAATTTACTAATCATTTTAAAAAATTTGTTCGAAAAGTGCAAAGAGATTTTCGGAAAAGGTTATTATCATGTTGTTAAGTTTTTTTGAGGTGATGTAGAATAATTGATTGTTCGTGAATCAACTATTCATTTCACCTTGTTCATAAACTAAATTTTTTAAAGTTTTGATTCGCTATATTCTAAAGTTTTGTTTTAAATTTTATTTCTTGATTTTGAACTTATTCTATCTAAAAAGTTTATACAAATTATTTCTAACATTTTTTTCTTAAAAAAATCTCTTTCTAATTTTTTTCCTTCGCTGATAAGTTTCTTTATCTCCAAAACTTTTTCCCAATTCTTTTTTTTTTCTCCTTGAATATTTTAATTCGGTTTCTTAAAATATTTCTTTATAAAAAAAGACTTTCTAAACTTTATGTTCTTTAAATAAAAAAACTTTATATATTTTCAACAATTTGTAAGTATTTTTTTTATTACATTTTTTCACTTTTCTCACTCCATTCCTTTCTCTAATATGTTTGTTCAACATTTTTTTAACCTTTTTTTGTCCAAAGTTTTTATTTCTTTCTTTAAACTATTTATAAAGAATTTTTTCTCTTTAAAGTTTTTTTTTGGTCTCTTTCAAAATTTTACAATTCTTTTTAACCTTTTCTCTTATAACTTTTAAATTTTGTTCTCTTTCAAACTTGCGATTAAGAAAACAATTTTTAAAAATTATATTCATTTTTCTCTATACCTTTTTGTCTTTAATTTTTAAAACACATTTAATTCTTAATTTCACTCTTTTTTTTTTGTCTCAAAATATTTTCCTTCACGTTTAAATTACTCTTAGTTCCCAAACTTTTTCCAATTCTTCTTTTTCCCTTGAAATGTTGTCTCTAACATATTTTCTAACTTTTTGTTGTTTTTTAAATGACTTAATTTATATTCTTTTGTTAGAAAACTTTATTTTTTACTTTTGAAACTCTTTTTTTGTCTCTACTTACTTTTTTTTTTTTTAAATTTGCCCTACAATTAGTCTTGGAACCCATAGATATTAATATTAGTATCAAAATCCAAAAGCTCATTGAGCTTTCGATAAAAAATAAAAATAGAAAAGAGATCCCAGCAAGATTGATGAACCCAAAAAATAACATATTTTGAGGGATAGGTTTAGGATTTCACGTCCTAACAAGAGTTTATAATATAAGTGACTACTCCTCTCATCGCTAATTAATTTTAAGATGCAACTCTATGAATATTGATAAAAATATAGAAACCAAAATGAATTTGAATCGGTTGTAATAAAAAATAGGTTAAATTAATAAACACGCACTGAAAATGGGATTGGGAGTAGCAAGAACCAGGGTAGATTTGTATAACCTTATTGCCAAACAAGGTTTTAGCGTAGGCCAGGTTGATCCGAACCCGAAGCAAAAGGAGAGGCAGCAAATAAGGAAGTCCCCAAATGGCCGAGCGTTTGTCGCTACGACTGACGCTTCCGCATTCTTCACCAACTACAGCAAAAGCCATGGCAGCTACTGCTTTAGGAAGCGCCGCCGCCGCCGCCGCCGCCTCCGCCTCCGCCTCATCAACCTCCCGTTTCCTCTCCTCAGCCACCAGGGCTACGCTGACGTTCTCTTCCCGTTCACCGTTGATCCTCCCTCGCTCCTCGTCTTCGTCATCTTTCCAGTTCCTCAGATCGTCTCCTCTCACTTCTCACCTTTTTCTGAATCAGGTTCTCTCTGTCGCTATCTCTACGCGTGTGTCTAGGTTTGTGATTTTTTTTTTTTTTTTACGCTAATCTTTTGATTCCTTGTGGATTTCACTTGTTTCAGGGACGCCCAAGCTCCTGTGTATCAAATAGAGGATTCAATGCGGCGACTCATCCGAAATGCCTGGCATCGGACCCTGAGCAGTTGAAGAGTGCTAAAGAAGATATCAAGAAGCTCCTGCAGACCACATTCTGCCATCCTATTTTGGTATTTCTGAGATTCATGATACGAAGTGCTATTATCTATAACTATTATTTTTCTCGTTTTAACTTCAATCGTGTGGAACTATTTGTTAACGAGTTTCTCCTATATTTGTTCTAATATGGCACCATAGCAACTGAATGTCTTGCTCACAATAATTTCCTGTTTAGATTTGTACTAACTACCGTGCTTAAGTTGGAACTGATAATAATTAGCATTGTTGGGGTCGAACTTTAAAGTTCGGAAGAGACACTAGAGTCGTGTCCTTTGGGGAATTGGTTTATCAATTTATTTGGTGGAAGTCTTTTCCACGGACATGTATTCTGACGTATCTTCTTTAACTCAAGGTACGGTTGGGTTGGCACGATGCTGGAACTTACAATAAAAATATTGAGGAATGGCCGCAGAGAGGTGGAGCTAATGGAAGTTTAAGATTTGAGGTTGAGCTGGGACATGGTGCTAATGCTGGTAATTCTTTGACAATAATCGTGCCTTAATTACAAGGTTGACGGTATTCATTCTAATTGACTAGTTTTGCAGGTCTTGTTAACGCCTTGAAACTCATTGAGCCTATCAAGGAGAAGTATTCTAACGTGACATATGCAGACCTATTCCAGCTGGCCAGTGCTACAGCCATCGAGGTCATGAATTGTCTATCTCTTGAAATTAGATGATCCCATTACAGATATTCAAAATGGATTGAATGTTCTGATGGTTTGATTTAATTCCAATTCAGGAGGCTGGGGGACCCAAAATCCCCATGAAGTATGGAAGGGTGGATGTTGTGGGGCCAGAACAATGCCCTGAAGAGGGAAGGCTTCCTGGTTAGTATATGGGCTGGCCTATAAGAACCAATTTTGATAGGAGGCTGGCCTAATATTTGAATTTGAAGATGGATGAATTATTCTGATGCTAGAATTAGAACCCAATCGCAGGATTCATTGACAAGAACATTGTGAATGTTTGAATTAGATATGGCTAGAGAACATTGTGAATGTTTGAATTAGATATGGCTATCTGAGTTGCTTATGTTAATTTACCCGCATTGTCATCTTGACCTTGTTTCTTGCTGCTTTTGTAAGTCACGAATTAGATTAAGTTGATTTGGGGGATGCTTGTGTTGAATTCAGCATTGGAAGTGAGTCCAATTACATAATTAGAAGACAAGATGTTTAAGTGTGGAATAAGTGAAGGAAAGAGGAAGCACATGGCATATTTTCTTGCATTTTAGCGAATTTCTTGTTATTCTGAAAGGTTTGAAAGAAGTGCTGGTGCATTACACATTCTGCTTTAGAATATAATTTGTCATTTTAGGAGGAATTACAAAAGGGGCAATTCTTGTTTCTTTAGATGTCTTATCACTTATGACCAGTTTCTAATCTTTTATAGCAAGATTACGTGTCTAGAGACGCACTCTTGCATCACTCTTTTCCACAAATTATTAAGAACTATTCTTTCTTTAGATGCTGGTCCTCCATCACCTGCTGGACATCTACGAGATGTTTTCTACAGAATGGGGTTGAATGACAAGGTAACATGAACCAGTCTGATATTTGAGTAAGTAATTTTTGCCTGCTTGCTTTATTTGATACAACGTTTCTGGATCTTTAGGAAATAGTTGCATTATCTGGGGCACACACGTTAGGGAGAGCCAGGCCAGAGCGCAGTGGTTGGGGCAAGCCAGAGACCAAATATACGGTAAGTTAACATCATCATGTTGTGAATGGTTAAAAATAGCATTTGTCTGGCTCAACTAGTTATTTGGTCTTTCTGACTGTTAATATCGTGGAATTAATGTTATTATAGCTTTATTTTTTATTTTTTGGTTAAGAAACCATGCCTTAATTAAACGAAAGAAGTACAAAAATAGGGTATAAATAACAAACTCCCAAACAAAGCCTGAAAGCTATTAATACTCTCCAATTAGTGTTAATCAAGGAAGGGTAGTAGTTACAAAAGGTTTGGGTGGTGCTGGCATTTGTTGTGGACTTGCGGACGTAAAAAATATTTGTTGATTCCTTCCTCTCATTTTTTAACTGCAAGTTTGATTCTTCCTCGAGCAATTTGAGGAGGAAAGTTTCAAATTCATTTATTCTTTTCTAAAAAGACAAAAGGTTTTGGTGGAAGAACTCCAAGAAGAGGCTTTGAAAGTTGCATGCTATTTCAAAGATCCACAAACCACAACAAAAGAATAGCCACGAAGGCTTTAATTCATAAGACCATTAAGTATATGAAGACTGAAATCTCTAATATTGTTTGAGAAGAGCGCATGATAGTTATAGTAATTCTAGGGATCGCTCCAGAATTTTTAATATCCAGACACTAAGTGAGCAAATGGTTGGGATATCCATTTATGACTCTGTTTGTTGCACCACCCTAGATATGTAAAGAAGGCATTCATCTTCTGAATTTTATCCCTCAGGATTACTCAACCGAGATCTTAACCAACTTCTGTCATCTATTCCAGAAGTTTATGACTTGGCTGCACTTATTTTGTGTAACAACGTGACAAATTATTCAATTTACCTTTTTACTCTACAATCAATTGCACCGCCTTTGATCTTGCCGTCTCAAACATTTTGAATCTTCATCCACAAGATCATTGGAGCTACCATAAGTATATCCATCAAGGCCAGTAGACAGCTCAAGAGATTCTATTTCGTATTCATTAGCAATGCAATATTTTGTTGTTGGATAGATGAATAAATTCTCTCGAAAGTCCTACTTGATTTATTCATACACACCATACAGGACTGAGCTTGGAGGCATTTATTACAAACCTAATTGGGCGCACCCCGTTGAGTGAAAGGAAATACTCCTAATAAGCCCCCTTCTATCCCATGTTCCATTTGATATCTCACATCATTCTCCTCTCTTTGGGAAAATTCCCCTGGCACACTATGCTTGAGAACACTCCAAGCCTACTCTTAACTCTAATACCAACTGATTGAAGATAGATTGAAGTTAAACAATCCTCCTCTAGGGCATACATTAGTATTGGCTGTGGAATTGGGGTTGATTAATGTTACCAGTGCGTGCTCTTGCTGGCAAAGCTCTCTTTATTGTTAAATTAAACAATTTAAATACCATAAAGTTACTACTAAGCAATAGTTTATAATCTGTTGTTGAAATTCAAGAGTCATGACATGCTATGATGTAATTGGTTTTGAACCTTCTAGCAAATGGTTAGTGTCACAATACGAGGAAAATGATGGACCAGAAATGAAATTCCTTATATTGTGAGGTTACCACAGTCCACAAGTTACCATACCATGAAGTACAGATGGATTATCAGTTGATATGTTGAAATGATGTTCTTTAGCAGAACAACGAAAAAGAACATCATTTCAACCAATAAAAAAAAATAATGTTCTTTAGCAATGTTTTTGGGTCTTTGTGCTTCAGTATACTGTCTTTCCAACCATATCTTGAAATGAATCATCGCTTTAAATTTGTGACTGCATTCTATTTGCTATTCTCAGGAGATTCCTTTTGTTCTGATTTTTCCTTGTTGACAGAAAGATGGACCTGGTGCACCTGGTGGACAGTCCTGGACTGCACAATGGTTGAAGTTTGACAATTCGTATTTTAAGGTTATCATATTGGCTTCATTTTATAAATTCCGAGAAGATGGAGAACTAGTTTTTGCTAACTTTGTTTTGTCCATATTATCTAGGATATCAAAGAGAGGAGAGATGAAGAATTACTGGCGTTGCCAACTGATGCTGTTCTCTTTGAAGATCCATCATTCAAGGTAAAACAATGCCACCCCACCCCCCACCCATAAGGAAGAAGAAAATGAAAGAAGGAAAGAGCTCTAACACATTATAGATTAGGTAGTTCATTGCTCCACTCAGGAGGCATTCTGTTGGTGAGCAAGAAGAATGGACTTGGTCCTTCCTAAGGCAATCAAAAGGCTCAATGTCGTTTTTGTTTACTAATGTTGTGTTGCAGGTTTATGCTGACAAATATGTTGAAGATCAAGAAGCCTTCTTCAAGGACTATGCTGAAGCTCATGCCAAACTTAGCAACCTTGGTGCTAAATTTGATCCTCCAGAGGTTTGTCGCCACTGTTACTGATTTGTTGATTTTGCTTAGGATGACAGGAATTTATGAATCACTAAATTTCCCCTTATAGAATATTTTGCGTTTTCTTTTCTGATGAATTTTCCTCTTATTAGTGCCGTCATAGGATGCCATCCAATTTAAACTCTACTGAAAACTGCATTTTATTGATCACAGGGTATTGTGATAGACGATGCATCTTCGAAACCTGTGGGAGAGAAGTTCGAGGCTGCCAAATACTCATATGGGAAGGTTGTATACATTACTAACTTTCACATTTTCATTTCATTTCTTTGCATGATAGGTCTACAAGAATCTCACCTTACATCTTCGCAAAATGTTTATCTTCTCTACTTTTGGTTGTCCGCTGCAGGATTAGAAACAAGTATCATGTTTTGTGCCGTGTCTTTTAATAATACAAGTTGAAGCTATATTCAAATCCTGACATCTGTGATGTCACATCTAAAACTTGGAAGAGTCTTAAGTGAAGAAGAGTGGAATAAAATTCAATAGTATTGCCTATTTGAATTGCAGAGAGAGCTGTCAGACTCGATGAAGCAGAAGATTCGGGCAGAATATGAAGCTTTTGGTGGAAGTCCAGATAAGCCTCTACCAACAAACTACTTCCTGAATATCATTATTGTGATTGGTGTTTTGGCAATTTTGACATCTCTGCTTGGGAACTAATTTGAGTTTTTGAATCTATTTTCGAAATGGCTTTATTTCTCAACACAATGTCTTTTAGTTTAACTGTCAATTCCTTATAGTTACCTACTCTAATAGAAAATTAACAAGATCCGTGAATGAGTATAATAAGATAACACATAGGAGTCATCATCACAGGTAAGATTTATAATTGCATGTAGCCTATGTCGTGTTTAGGTGTCACTAGGTTTAATTTTGTTTTTTATTGCACCCACGCACGAGAAATTATTGAACATGACTGTCACAATATTGTTGCTACTTTTATAATTGCTAGGTGTTTGTTACCATAATTATTTAATATTTAAAATTATATTAAAATACGAACTTTGTGTGTTTTGACAGTCTAATCTTGACCCGAAATGTGAGTTAGATGGGGCCGGGTTGCCCTTCTTTGTTATCATTATTACTTTCCCCATCCCTCATAGATTAAATCACTGCAATTATACACATTTATTGGCAGGATTCACTCGTTCTAGTGTTGTTTATATTGGTTCTTCAATCTATTGTATGTTATATACTCGATTTAGGAAGAAAATTATCATCAATTGGGTAAGATAATAGAGCCTTCTCTTTATATGTTTTAGTTTTATATGGCCTTTTAAATTCTTTTATGGCGATTTTTAGTGGTTGATAAAATAGAGAGGTTTTTTACCAATTCAAATTTGACCATGTCGTTGTGGGAAAGGTTGAGGGTAATTTGATGAAAATTTAGATGAATTTGTATTGATCAAATTTACCTTTCGAACTTGATATAAGCTTTTTGATTGTCTTTCTCAATGATCACCAAAGGAAGGATGCATACTTTTTAATTGAACTTTGTATATAATAATTTTAGTTGAATTATTGTACTAAAACAATTAGTAGAATTTTGTATCTAATAATTGAGGTTCAAGTTCAAAGAGTTTGATCAATAGATTTTCCAGCCCAAGCGTCTAAAATTTTAAAATGCAATATCCTAAACAGAACGCTAGTTTGGTGATTATTGCTGTTATGTAAAAGACCACTAGGTTTTGTCATTACGTTTGGTCATTGAAATCATTGAGTGGAAGAGAATTTTGCCTTTGAACTCGAAGAAGTATTCATGAGCTCCATTATTCGAAAACTTCGATTTATAATTATAATTAATTATTTTTGGGTCAACTAGAGGAAGAATTCGGTGAAATAATATATAACTTGTGAACATATAATAATAATAATAATAATAAAAAAAGAACATCAAAATAATGAATAGGCAGTTTTAAATTTGAGGTTGGATGGAATATGAAATAGAAATTGATGAAAAGCTAATCAAATTAGAAAGTAATCTATTTTCAATTCATGAGTTATCTAAAGGCAAAATACTTTCCCCAAGAAACATCCTAGGCGTGGTGAAGCATTATTATTTGGGGTAGGGAAATAACTATAAATGGCGTAAAATGGATCCCAAGAAAAATCCTATGCTTAATGGAAATTTTATAGATATCTATGCCGACGAATGAATCCTAAGAGAGATTACCTTCAAAGGTCTATCCTTATTATCAATAGTTGGTTCCATTATTCTTAGCATCCCTCTGGTCAAAAGCGAAATTGAGGATAAATTCTTCTGGCATTGTGACAAAAGAATGGGTGGAAGAATTTGTGGTACTTAGATATCCACGATAATAATTAGGATGGAAACAATCCCCGGTATCCATAACACAAATTACTAGTATATCCTTAGGATTCATCTCAATATTAAAATTTAGAATTGGTAAATTGGGAGGTCAAATCTACCTTCCAAAATTAAAAAAATCCCAAAACCCCAAAAAGCTATCCATTTTCGAAACCTACCCTTTCTTCTCCCTCGTTTTTTTCTTCTTCCGACCATCAGTTTTCCTCCTCCGACCGTCTGTTCCTCTTCTCCGACTATCCGTTCCTCTTCTCCGACCGTCTGCCTTCCTCTCTGGCCGGCTACGCTTTTCTTTGTCGCAAGAGCATTTCATCTCCGGCCGCCTTCGAAAAGAGATTTCTGCCGGTTCTTATTCTCCGGGCGTTTCTGCCTACCTTCGTATCTGACCGACGTTTGCCTGCCTTCATCTCCTGCTACCTCCATTTTTCTCAGTAGCCAGAGCAGTTCATCTCCAAATTGAAAGGTTTGCGTTCCAAAGGACATTTTCAATTTCTGATTTGGTGTGAAATATTGTATATGTGATGATATATAGTATAGTGATTTAATTAGGATATATCTTATAACTCAACTTGTATTCTATAGTGGTTTTGAATGTATATATGCGGATATATAAGTGGATATATACTGTGATTTTCAATATATTTTTTGAATATGCGGATATATGTTTATTTAGACTTCAAAGGATGTTTATGTGATTTTGAATGAACTTTGAAGATTGAGCACCAATGTGGGAGTGAATCAATGGAAAATCAATCTTTTTGAACCAATAAATTAAGGTTTCGAATGAGTGAATTAAGAGATTTGTGTTGAGGATTATGATAATAATTTATGGAATTAAATATTATATATTTAAAAAACAAATAACTATAATAAATGTAAATGCAATAAATAAGGGTAAAATCGAAATTAAAATAAAATCCAAATTAGAAAAATTTAGACATTTGTGTAAATAAATTTCTAAAACAGTCCTCCGAACACATTATCTCAAAATAGAATCCAGTGTCCCATCTCTTCAATATTGCCTACTTTGATATTTCTTCTCTATTTTGCAGGGCACAAATGAGCTTAACGACGAAAATGTTAGAGTCTTCATAATAGCTGCTCTTTGGATGATGTGGAAAAGGAGAAATGGAGAAATTTTCAACAAGCAAAAGAACTACAAGAAAGACCCTGTTAGCTGGGGGATGCACTATGCTAACAAAACAAAGGAAAGCAAAATATCTTTCAAATAATCAACCTTGCGATGGAGTGAAAGACAACACAACTGCAGTCAATACATCAATACATACTAGTTGAACAACGATGCTACAAATCCTAACGGAAATGTTGGGATAGGAGTAGAAATTCGTGATCCCAAAAGATATGATAATAACCTCAATCGAAAAATTCATGTACAAGTTATTGCTCTGAACAAGTGCATCATCATTGCTTTGGAAGCAGGTATTCGACCTTTATGGGCAAAAATCAATTCTAGAATGGTTTGGAAACTAATTTGCAGAGAAGGGATTTTCAAAAATGAAACATGATTGGTAATCGATGAAATAAAAGAAAAATAGAAACAGAATCCAATTGAAGGATTCACTCCCACCGTGTAAAGGTGTACTACTGAAGTCGCAAATACTTTACCAATACATACAACGATAAATCACAACTCCAAAATTTGGCTAGAGAACATCCTTCCTTGAGCTCTTTGAACTTTAGCTAACAATCTTCCTCTTCGTAAGAAACAACTTTACTAAATTGTTTCTTTTCATGTCTTTTGGTTGTGCAAAAAAAACCATGAATTTTCTTTTTTTAGTTATAATAATGAATGGACTAAATTTGGGAAACTATCATAGGTAATCATAATTACCTATCAAAAATATCATGTATATTTTATCAATGAAGGTAAGATATAATTGACAATTCTCAAAGTTTATTGACTAGTCTTCCTTAGTTTTTTTAGTATAATAAAATTGTGTGGATGAAAATTTGAACTTCTAATTAAAATGTAACCTAGTTTGCAAAGAAAACTTGAATTATTTATTGAATTAACAAAAGATTACATATATAGCAATGAGTTGACTATGACCTGTAAGGAAACCCCATTGATATAGTCTGGAGTAAATAGAATGTAATATGTTACAAAAGGGAATGATTATATCAATAAATACAAATTGATTGCATAAATATACAGCTATACAAATCTCCAACAATCACTCTTTATCACTAATACCTTAACTATGTTTAGGTTTAAAATTTATGGACGAAAGAAAAGGTTTAGACTTTAATATTCTATTTTAGGGGTGTAAATATCCCGGTTCAGTTCGATTTTCGAGTAGGAAGTGGAAAATTAAAATCGGTTTGGGTCGTTGATGAAAATCGAACCGAACCAATTCAATCTGGATCGATTTTCCTATTCGGTTCGGTTCCTTTCACCCCTAGTCTATTTCCATTTGTTGAAGATTCATATCTTCATTCCAACTTATGCTCAAAATAATAAATTTTTATTTCACAATTTTTTTTCCCAAAATGATTCACCTTAAATAATAGTTAATATTATACTAAAATTAATATATATATATATATATATATATAAATAAATAAATAATAGGTGGGGTTAAAATTCAAACTTAGGAGGTTTGATCTAACGATATATATACACTCAGGTACTGAAAAATAGTCAATACGGCCATACGGGTGATGGCTTTCCTATTATAATATTATTCTTTCTTTGCCTAAAATTGCATTTAGTTCTGTAGGGCCGTTATGACGTTATCTTCAAAAGGAAAATCTATAAGACCGTTTCTTTTTTTTTTCTCGACAAATTAAATAAAAAGGAAATAACATTAGCAAAAAATAAAAAAATAAAAAGGAAATAACATTATTAATTAATAAAACAGTTGACAAACGGGGATTTTTTCCAGTATATGCGAGACTACAGATAACATACCTAAATAACAAATCAGATTCAGATTCAAATGACTAGATAATTTCTACTCAATAAATTCGCTCATTTAATAACGTTTTAATTGGCATTAACATTTAAGAAAATAAAAAAATTACATAAAAAAAGAAAAATTATAAAAAATATATAAATGATTATAAACTTATGAGTTCTTTTTTTCAGTACGATATGTTTGGTGACATTTTTTAAAAAATAAAAAATAAAAAAAAATATTTTTTTTGAATACCAAATAAAAATATTTTTATAAACTCATATTTCCCAAAAAAAAAATATGTATACAGCTGCCGTACGTTGTTTTCCTTTTTCCACCGCGAAACATACGTGAGATTAATTCGCGATTTAATCGCCAAGCGTGCGAGCCTCCGCATGGAAAAATACACTACAAATGACGAGACCCAACCAATAGGAACATTCCACGTGGAAAATCGTCCACGTGTAGCGCGAGTATTGATTTTGAGCGCGTATGGATCTAATGACTCATATGCAGTCACGTGCGAGTACCATCTTTGTATCGTTCTCTATCTACTCTCTTCAGCCGCTCTCCCTTAAAACCCCCCTCCGACTGAAACTCTCAAATATCATTTCACGCAGAGAGAGCTTCCAGTGCCTTGGCAATGGCGTCTTCATCTTTGATTCGGTTCTTCGTTCTTGCTTTCGTACTCCTCTCTGCTTCTGTCACTGAGATCTACGCGGAAGAGGCCGAGGCGAAGGAGTATGTTCTCACTTTGGATCATTCCAACTTCTCGGAGGTTGTTGGCAAGCATGACTTCATCGTCGTCGAGTTCTACGCCCCGTGGTATGGTTTTTCTTCATTACCATTTTTTGTCGTCGTTGGTTAAGTTTCCGTTTCCGATCTTTTCAATGGCTGCTGTGTGGTTTGATTTTGTGGTTTCTGTGAGGATTTCAATTTTTTTTTTCATGTCGTGTTTTTAGGGTTTTTTTTCTTTGTTTCTGTGTAATTCATTTTTCGCATTCTTATCGTGTAAATTGGCCTCCTCGCTCTGTTTGAATTAGCTTGGTTTTAGTGCATGGTTGTTGACCAGATTTTGTGTGGTTATTTTGATATTAGCATTTGGGAATGAATGTATGTCTGGCTTTCTTTTGTTAGCCTGATCTTGAGTACGCAGTCAACTACGGAGAGGATTCTCATAGTTGTATGTCGCCGTGAAAGATTCTCATTCATTTCAAACATCTTCGATCTTAGTAATTTGCAGAACTGGAATCTGAGAGTATTTGATGACTTAATTATATGTTTGACTTTTTCCCGGTTGGGGTATCGTTCCTCTTGGAACACTCTTGCGCTCTTTTCCCTTGAGAAGCAGCTAAAATTTATGGAATAGATGTCAGATTTTAACCTTCTAAGTCATATTTATCATGTTTTTAATTAGCCATTGATGAAGAATTGTCATTGACCTTGCTCTTTTTTTAAACGTTTTCTCCCAACGATTTAGGTGCGGGCACTGTAAGAATCTGGCACCAGAGGTGAACTAATTTTCTTATCTCTGCTGTTAAGTTGAATTATCCTTGAGGATATTGTCGCTGATGGCTTTATTCAATCTTTTCTTCGTTACAGTATGAAAAAGCTGCGTCTGTTTTGAGCAGTCATGACCCTCCAATTGTTTTAGCTAAAATTGATGCAAATGAAGAGTCAAACAGAGAGCTGGCAGGTCAATTTGAAATTAGGGGCTTCCCCACTATTAAGATACTCAGAAATGGGGGTAAATCAAGTCAAGATTACAAGGGACCTCGCGAGGCAGATGGGATTGTTGACTACTTGAAGACGCAAAGTGGGCCTGCATCTGCTGAAATAAAATCTGCAGAGGATGCTAGTAATCTCATTAAGAATGTTTTCATCGTATGAACTAGATCTCTTATCTTTTCTTTCTTTCTAATTTTCTGTTGCTATTTCAATTTTTCTGTATATAGCTAGTAAAATTAATTTTTTCCTGGCTTTGCAGGTTGGGATATTTCCAAAACTTTCTGGTGAGGAGTTTGACAACTACATCGCTGTAGCTGAGAAGTTGCGTTCTGACTATGCCTTTGGTCACACTTTGGATGCTAAGCTGCTTCCCCGTGGAGAATCATCTGTAGCTGGCCCAATCGTCAGGCTTTTCAAGCCATTTGATGAACAATTTGTTGATTTTAAGGTACCAGAATTTCATTTCATTATGTGTGCTAAATTTTTAAATTTGGCTTTTTATGATTTATGATTTTTTTTCACGCTGATTCTTATTGGAGCTGTGAACTCAGGATTTTGATGTAGCCAAGTTGGAGAAGTTCATTGAAGAATCTAGTATTCCCCTGGTAACGGTGTTTGATAATAATCCTATCAATCAAGCTTATCTTTCCAAGTTCTTCTCCAGTCCTAATGATAAGGTATATAGGCATGATCTCCTATTTTGTCAAAGAATTGTTTCCATTGTTTGCATGAATCCAATTGTGCACTAATGTTCACCACTCACTTTTTCTGCGGTTCAAGAAATGAATGTCTTATCTGGTTCATATCAATGTCATTTTCGGGCAGGCTATATATTTTCATATGTATATTTTTTCTTTTGGGGTACCAAAAATTATTTACCATTGATACAGTAACGAGGGTCATTTGACTAATATTTTACTGTTTTGTCGGGCAGGCTATGTTTTTTCTGAATTTCAGCAGTGAGGTTGCTGATTCTCTAAAATCTAAGTACCGTGATGTTGCTGAACAGTACAAAGGACAGGGATTAAGTTTCCTAATGGGAGATATTGAATCCAGTCAAGCTGCCCTAAACGTTTGTATCCCTTTTTGTTTCGTGTGGCTATTTATGTTGCTTGCTTTGTTCTCCATCACGCTAACATGTTTAATACCTTATTGGTTTGCATTAACAGTATTTTGGACTTAATGAAGATCAGGTGCCTGTCATTCTTGTACAAAAAAATGATAGGCATAAGTTTGTGAAATCCAATGTGGAGCCTGATCAGATTGCTCCATGGATGAAGGAATACAAGGTCAAACTCTTTCTTTTGCGTTACATGAAGTAGTGCTCAAAGTTTTGATACTCAGATTTATATTCTGAGTATTTTGTTCATACAATATGGTTCCTTCCTTCATGATTAATATTGTTTTTGTGGTGTTTTAGATTCCTTTCGTGTTTATGCCTTTTGGAATTTTATACAGTAGTTTTTTACTCTGATTTCATAACTGCAGAACGGCAATGTGCCACAATTCATAAAATCCGAACCCATTCCAGAGAGTAATGATGGACCTGTGAAAGTGGTTGTTGCTAATAGCCTTCATGATGTTGTTTACAAGTCTGGAAAAAATGGTGAGTTTCAGTATTTACTGTTCAATATCAATTCGCAAATATGATAACTAAATGATTATTAACTTGTAATTTAATTACTCGTTACTAATTTCTTATTTATAGCTCATATCTCTTGGTAGCGTAGTGGGTGATGGAAAGAGGCTTCTTAACACTCTCAGCTTTTTCCATCTAGTTCTCTTCTGATTTCCCTTTATTCTTGATTTTGACGAGCCATTTTTGTAGTGTTAGAGCTTGTTTAACAGGAAAAAAAAAAAACTTCCGTAGGACGTGTATCTCTTAAACTGATCTGTAATGTAAAATTTCTTTGTATGTTTGCTATTTATTTTGAACGTAACTGGTTCTTACTCAGAATTGATTTATTTTGTTGTTTCATTTCTATTAGTTAATTTTGGTGTTTAGTTCAAATTTGGTCGATCGAAATTTTTCCTATTCAAAATTTGGTTGATTTTGGTGTTTTAATTTATGTCTAACTACTCTTTTCTTTCTTTTATTTATTTATTTATTTCGAACAATCTTACTAACTTTTTTCTTCTTACCAATTCAAACCCGGAGAAATTTGATACTCAGTTTTGTTGTGTTATCGTATTTTTAGTTTACCTCTTCCCCTCTTGTATACTGCGAGATCATCAACTGCTTGTTTCATCGTGCAGTTTTGCTGGAATTTTATTCTCCTTGGTGCGGGCACTGCAAAAAACTTGCTCCAACTTACGAGGAAGTGGGTGTCTCGTATGAAAAAGATCCTGATGTGATCATTGCTAAGTTTGTAAGATCCATTACCCCGTGAATCTTTTTTTAAGACTTATACATGTACTAGTTTCTAAGTTTAACCCATAAACAAGTTATTAACTGCAAATTTTTTATGCTATTGATGAACATTGGTAATCATTCACATCCTTTTTACTCTAAAAGTTTAGTTGCTTGTTCTATACATTTTTCACTGGTATCTGTATATTTGATCTGTATGACTATTCAAATATGTATATGATCAATTATTTTTTCTGTATACGAACTTTGGTTTGATTCATTTCATTTTCCTAACTCTGGTAGGATGCCGCTGCGAACGACATCCCAGAGAGTGATTTCGACATCCAAGGTTACCCTACAGTGTTCCTGAGGACAGCAAGCGGAAAGCTGGTGGAGTATAGCGGTGATAGATCCAAGGAAGACATCATCAATTTTGTTGAGACGAATCGTGATAAAATTGGCGAGGCAGATTCCAAATCCAAGGACTCAAAGGCAGATTCAGAAGCCAAAGATGAGCTCTAAAAATGGTAAAAAAAAAGTTATATATAGCTCTTTATGATCTTTTTAACTCGTTGGAATATCTCAATGTGAACTTGTTTGGTATCTCCTCAAAACCACCACTAAAAAGTTAAAACAACTGTTTTTTTTTTATATTATTTCTTAAAGGAAGATTTCACACATTTTTTTTTAATATAGAATAATTTTGACTTTTCTTGGTATACTTCACGTCACAGATTTTGATTGAATTGTGCTACTTTTGTGCTTTGTAAAATTTTAAACTTCATGTAATATTTGAAAATACATATTTATTTATTTTATGCCATTTATGTAAACCTCTCTTTTTGTACATTCCTCTCTTAGTTGGATGGTGGTCAATATCTACTGTCTAGTTAGTACTTAGTACCTAAGTCACCATTATCGTCATCATCACATAATAGAGTATACCCATTCATTTAGTAGTCACCATTATCGTCATCATCACAAGTTCCCAAATGTGGTTTTTGGAATGGAGTGGTGATCTCTGGTTGTTTCTATGAACTGAAATCTAACTTACATAATTACAAGTTGAGACTATGCGTATGACCCAATCTCCACTAATCTTCCGTCAGTTCCAATTCCATCAGCCTAGGACTTTAGACCTCTACAAAGGCCATCTCTCACGGTTAATCCCAACTCCATCTCCAAAACAGCAAAAGTTTTAAACTATCAAAGCTTTAGAAGACAGTCCCTTAGGGTCTTTGGACA